TTCCTTTAGTATATGATTTATGTATATAATATATATATATATATTTTATATACATAAATCATATATACATATATAATAAATATGTATATATTATATACATATATACCATATACATATGTACATATATATTATATATACATGTAATTTATATATAATATATATATATGTCATAAAACTGTAAAGAAAACTCAAGGAAGGAGAAACACGACACACTATTGTTTAGATTACTGCTTCTCAACTCTTGCTGCACATTAGCAGTAACCAGGGAGTTTTAAAAAAATATTGATGCACAAGACCTAGCCGAGAAGAATTAAATTAGAATCACCTTATTCAATGGCTTAGCTAAGACTTATAGTAAACAAACACTTACTGCATCATTAAGGAAATTAGGGTCATCCTTTCTTCTCAGTACCTCAAGATCTTTGCTTCGGCAATTATTCCCTCTCTCCCGCAGCATCAATTTCTCCCTCACTACTGGGTTACTCTCTTTGTTGTACACACATGCATGCCTGCTATCAGCCATCCGAAAAGAAACAATAAAACAAAGAAAGAAAAAGCAGTCTCTTGACAGTATGTCTTCCACATACCATCTGCCAGCTTATCTTCTCTGCCTTTAAAGCCATACTCCTGGAAACAATTGTCTACAACTCTTTGTTCTTCTTGCTTGTGTCTATGTCCTTCAGCTCACTCTACTCTCCAGCATTGCTACAAAGCAACTTTCATTTAGACCGGCAGCAATGACTGCTGTCCCATCACGCCCTACAGTCGATTCTTGGACTTCCTCATGTTTTACCTCTCCGCAGCATTTGACACAGTTGGTCACATCCTTCCTGCTTTTCCTGGCTCAGTGGCATTCCTTATGTTGCATTTCTTCTTTTCCTGACCTCAAAATATTGGCTTAAGGCCACACCTTGGCTCTTGGCCCTGTTCTTTAACTATCTTCTTTCCTCAGATGAGCTTATTCTGTCCCATGCCTTTAAATGCCATCTCCAAGCTATTGGCTATGAATTGTTTGTCTTCAACTCTAATGTCTCTCCTGAAGTTGGACGTAAATATCCAACGATATACTTATATAAACTAGTAATTGATTTCAACGCCAAACTAATTCCTGCCATTGCATAGTTGCTTAGGACAAACAATGACATTAATTTGTCAGCAATTCTTTTTCGGATGACTTTCAAGTTACGGAATGAATGGATCACTTCCACTGTGTCCACTGCAGCTATCTTAACATAAGACACGTCTGAGCGGCTGCAACAGCTCCTATCTGTTCTTTCTGCGTCCACTTTTTAATCTTCCTACTGCTTTCCCAGAGCAGCTTGATCCTCTGAAAGTACAAATCAGATTATGTGTCTTTCCTGTTAAACCCCCCCCACTAGTGCCCCGTGGCTGAGCTCCTCACCATGGCCTAGAAGGATACACAAGTAGTGACCACTTTCCAGATTTCTTACCAGCCTCACCTTGGTTGTGGGACTTTAGGCCCACTATTCTTCCACCCTGTGGAAATGCCTGGCCCCTTGAGTCCCAATGCCTGGGCAGCAGCTCTTACTTTTGCCAAGAATGCAGAACTGGCCCCTTCCTGTGTATAATTCAGGTTCTTAGCTCAAATGTCACCTTCTCTGCAGAGAGCCTTCCCTCATCATTCAGCTCATAAAGTGTCCAAGCCCTTTCAACCTCTAGCACATTAACCCATTTTCTATTGCTACTAAAATATCAACCACCATATAAAGTTATTTGTGTATAACTGTAATCTCTCTCTCCCTAGCAACTCCAAAAGAGCAGGGAATTTATCTTCATTATAGCTGAATGCTTAATATTTAGAGCAACACCTAACAATCAGTCAGGTCATGATAAATGTTTGAAATGGATAAATAAATCATAAGTCAATCCAAACTTTCTACTCCTCATGCACTATTTGGGTGTCTCTGCTTTATGCTCATGTTGGCTGTGCTTTTATCCCCTCAATTTTCTTTGCAATTTTCTTCTTGATCATTACATAAAATGGGAAAGTCACAGTTCATTTCCTGAATATTAAACATTTTATTGCCTTCAATATTATTCCTTCATAGAAAAAGCATAAATGAGAAAACATTCACAAAACAGCTTCTCCTATCTCTGGAATCACACCTCTCAACTCCAAGTACGCCTGTGTACACACTTCCCTGCTTTTGGTTTTTACCACACTCCCCAACCTGGGTATTTCTCTGCCTGCTGTGATTCTCAGATGTTTACCATTCACTCATCAGCTTTACCATCCTCATACTTTACTTTTCCGGGCTTCTTTTCCTCTTCAGCATCCTTTGTGACCTTTGTATGCTTTGTATAAACATGCATTATTTTAGCATCTCTACAATCTGATAATAGGGGACATCATCCGAATTTTTCTTTCTCTCTTATCTGACTTTCTAGACTTTGCCAGCATGGACTCACCTTTTGAAATAAATCTTAGGTTGTTAACATTGACAATTTGAACCAGAAAACTCCGAGATGTAAGATATTTCACTAGATGTAATTCTGGGCTTAGTCGAGATATTAACTAACAGGATTGTTCGTATTTATTATCTTATTTATTATACAATCATCATCATGTAACATTATACTGATTATGCATTATACATGTGCAGTTCTATGGGTGAACATTTCACTTGGCTAGAACTTGAAGAAAACACAGCGTTACTTCAAAGTATAAATGTTCCTAACTTAAATGTTCCTGAAGTGAATTAAATGGCAATTTTGTGCTATTCTTAAGAGAAAGGATTTACACCTACATTGTAAATTATAAAGCAAGCCGCAGTGTTCTTAGCACCCACTTCATGCTGTTTCTGTTAAGAATTCCCAGAAGGGCTGCTTAGAATATACTAGCGATTAAGTGAGTTACAGTACATTCTAAAAGATTTTATAATACCACAGAGAAATAAAAATACATGCAAAAATATATTTAAATTATAAAAATTGCTATTTAAAAATTAAAGTTATGATTTATTTGATAGTTCATTTCTTATATTAACAGAGAATGTATGCCCCCACTCCCTATTAAAATTGTTTCAGGAGGCAACATTTAATGGTGCAAACTCTCTTTTCCTCGGTAACCAGATATAAAATATCAACAGACCGAATGTCACCCTTGACTCAAGTGTTTGTGATGTTTACAAAATGATTAGACTGTCATCAAGCTGAAATACTGTTGAATTACCATGAAAGTGAAAATATTACTGCAACAAAGTACAAAATAAGAAATATATCATCCTTAACTCTTTTGTTTTTCAAATAGATATGAGAAAGAGTACAGTTTTTTCTTTATTATAGAAGCACAGGAAAAAAGTCATTTGTTTGAAATCATTCTCCATCTCTCCTAGACTGCAGACCTTTGTCTGAGTGTTGAAGTCCAGCTCATCTTTCAAGGCCAGGAGCAATGAGACTTAAGACACAGCGCCTATGGCAATTGATGCTTTCCTACATTTATCCTTCGGAAACTCTTTCCCTGTCTCTCTATCTCTTCCTCACTTGCACCTCTGTTTTTAAACAGCATTTGTTATTGAATTCATTACAGTGTCTTTATTCTCTGTTATTTAATAGAATTCAAGACAGAGGCCTTATTTTGTTTATCTTGGTATTACATGTGCCACCAAGGTATTTTCTTGTAACAGGTGCTCTATGAAAGCTCGAATTGAATTTCATTGATTTGACCAACATTAGCTATCAATAAAATATCTCACAGCACTCAAAGTAGCTCTTTAGCTCATGACTATAGAGTTTTAGTAACAAATCAAGCATTCATAATTCATAATTCAGAATGTCTTTTATGCTGAAGGTACTACACCTGCAGAAAAGCAAAGACAAAGACATCTAATAAATTGCAAAGTCAGTAGTAATGACGGGAAAAAGTTGAAGGTATAATGGACTTTAGACAAAACAATAAATAGCAAAACACACTTTATTATTATTATTTTTCCCCAAAACCTCTAGTATTTGTCTTATGGTGGTATGTGCCTATGGTCCCAGCTACTCGGGATGTTGAGGTTGGAGAATTGTCTGAGCCCAGAAGCTTAAGACCAGTCTAGGCAATATAGTGAGACCTCATCTCAAACAAACAACTGAACAAAAAAAACCCCACAAAACAAAGCCAGTAGGATTTAAAAGGACATTATGGGCACTCTCATTGTATCCAGCATTCTATCTAGACAGGATTATCATCCACTACTGAAGTTTTAAGTAAAAATCCATTTTAAAAATCATACAACTATAAAATGTGTCAAGAAAATATAAATAATTTAGAATACAGTAATTTCTCACTTAACGTAGTTGATAGGTTCCTGGTAACTGTGACTTTAAGTAAACCAACACATAATGAAATTAATTTTTCCGTAGGCTAATTGAGATAAATAAAAATTTACTTTCTATTGCATATTTCTGATCACAAAAACACCAATCTTCCAAGGAATGACCAAATGACCAAAATACTCTTAGTATTATTAAGCATTGAAATAAATGTCTAGTATACATACATTTAAGACAGGTTCAAAAAAAAAAAAAAAAAAAAAAACAAGCAAGAACATTATGTAACCAATCATTCCAGTTCAGAGTCACAGTTGGCTGGAGCCTATCCCAGCAGCTCTGCACAAGGTGGAATCAATCTTGACCAGGACACTGTTTTATCACAGAGTGCATTAACACCTACACCCACACTCACTCAGATTGGGGCAATTCAGACACGACAATTCACCTAACACATTGTTGAGTTACGGGAAGAAACCGGAGTACCTGGAGAAAACCCACACAAATGTGGGGACAATGTGCAAACGCCACACAGACAGTAGCCCCTGCGGGAATCAATTTTTTTCCCTCATCCTTATAAAGAAAGAACATTATTTGAGATCCTGCTGTATATTTTACATGAAGATAATGATGTTTTAACATTTTACTGCAGATAATTTAAAACACTCAAGTAGAGTGAATATGTATCTGTCAACCAGCTTAAACAGTTACCAATTATGACCAATATTGTTTCATTTACGTGATTATTGACTTCACCCCTTCTCATACTTTGAATTATTTTGAGACAAATTGCAGATACCATATCATTTTAACAATACAATGCATATTTGAGGGGATTCTTTAAAATGTCTAAAAAATTTAAAATAATGCACTACAAAGTCCAAATTCTCGAAGTGATGCACAATTCATTTTTCAGTGTTTATGTTATTGAATCAAGATTCAATGAACCCTTGAGGTTTAGGCATTAAGTATCTCTTTAATTCTTTCTCTCTCTATTTTTAACATTACATTTATGCAGGAGACAGCAAGAAAGGACCACAGAATGTTTTGGGTTTCCGATACCAGAAGGAAGAGGTCATAGCAAGAGAAAAGGAAAGAAAGCAGGAAATGGACAGAGATTCAGGATCTAGCCCTGTGCCTGTTGACCCATGCTCCGGAGACCTCTCTGTTCCTGGGGCTGTGCTTGGGAGTCTGACTGTCCTCTTTCTAGGTTTCTTTAGGGCCTGTTCCTCTGCCTCCCTGGGCCCAGGATCATGCACTAGATGAGATTATCTCTAGGTAGTTACTCTGTTTTTCTTCAGCCATTTCTAAGGAAACACAATGGCACCTTTTCTTCCCCTCCTCCCAACTAGTTCTTGGTGCTGTTTTTTTTTTTTTTTTTAACACCTCCTGTGTTCTTTGGCTTAAACTACTTAGTATGAGTAGAAGTATAAAAGCAGCACTGGTGTTTCCAGGTGGAGTAGGTTGGAAATTTGCATCTTCTGAAACCTCCTATCTCCTGATATATCTTTTAAGTGTGTAGGTTCATCTTGCTTTTTCTTCATGCTGTTTATTTTTTGAATAAACCAGGATGTTTGTTTTGTAG